TATTAGCAAATATTTGAGTGAAATTAAATAGAAAACCATGAAAGGGTGACTTACTGGTCAGAAAATAAAAACAACAACAAAAAAAAACAGACAATACAAATTCAGCCCATGTAAAACCACCCAGGAGATTGCAGCTAGCATGTGTTAATTGAGCTCTACGATAAATAAGCACGCATCAGATGAGATCTTCCCATACAGGCCTTGAGCAGCTCTGGGAGAATGATGAGAATTGACTGAGAGTCTCAATTTCCAATAGCAATCACAGTGTGACATCTCTTTCTCCAATTAGGACTGGAGAGGAGCAGAGACGAATCCGCCGGGAGCTGCTGTTGCTTTGAATAAGTTGTTGTCTGGTTTAATAGTCTCTTTCTTTGTAGTTTTGACCTGTAAATGATGCATGCACTCTTAAGCCCACGAACTCATTCTGCCAGCTGCTATTGTTTGCTTCTGAATGAATTACACACCACATGTGCTTTGCACTTAAACAACTTCTGCACGAGGCTGCCTTGAACTGTATATTACTTGGCTTCACGGAGAGTCGAAGAGATCCAGAAATGGTGAATTTTGTTTTGTGGAGTCAGAAGGTATTTTTTATAGCGAACGTGAATGCTAAAAATACTCAGAAAGATGATGATGTTAAAATGAAAGGTACCACAGGCTGCTCTGTCCTCGCATGGCAGCAGATACTGAACACGACCAAGTGGCCTCATGCATTTGGCTATCGTACAAGAAAAAAAGGAACTAAGTCGCATTAAAGTGTTTATGGCATGCATAGAGTGAAGAAACAATAAATTGGTGCTCAAGAAGATAAAAGGAGGTCACAGAGCACTGCTAGGATTATTAAACAGGGAGAAAATATTAGATTAAGTAAACTAAAATAAAGTTAATTTAATATTTTAAACATGCCACGGTGTTCTGTTGAGTTGAGACGGACAATGTTCTGCTTTAAAATCACATAGCACAGCATCAGACTTGTTGTGATGCCCGGTCTGAATGACCGCATTTCATCCAAATGATTCTTGAGTGGAACACTTTTGTCACCAGCTTGACTCAGTGTTGGTTTTGTGACTTAAATTACTATAAACCGCATGGATCTTTCAGTAAAACATTTTATTTTTGTTTCATCACCTGCAAGTGTATTGATTTCTTAATACGGCCAAAGAGAATGGTTAAAACAACTTTTTAAAGTAAATGCCATAAATGCAAATAAAACTTTATTGACAGAGCTGTCTTTTAAAATAAGTCTATGTTCATAAAATACTTAAATACTCTCCCCTGATGTTGATGTGATTAGTCAGCTGCCTTACCGTTGTACCAGAGCTAATTGGCCAATAACACAAGTGTTTAAATAAGCACCTTCAAGACTGCTTTCTACATGATTAAACAACATGTTTCCAGTTGGGTGTTTATTATAAATTATGCATAAAATACATAAATTACTTAGATCACTGCTTTATTGTTCATTGTAAAAGGATGCATACAGGAATCTCTCCTGCGTTTGTTTTTGTAGAATACTTTAGAAGAAGAAAGGATGACAAACCAAAGATAATCAGAAAATAAGAAAGAGCTTTAAGAGAACATATGTTGTCATTTCAGAATATCAATGTCTTAGTTATTATGGGGGAAAGGGAGAAGTTACTGTGTAGATCAAGGAAAGTTATAATTGAAAATTCTGAAATTGCTGCAAAGCTCCATTGAACCTCTCTGTGACCAAAGACTAACTGGACTGTAACAAGAAAAGTGCACCTTTTATGCACTCGTGGCCTTTACTGGACGGTAGATAGAAAGGAGTTGATGTGGAGAGAGGAGACATGCAGCAAATGGCCTGAAGCTCAAACCTAGGATGACTGCTTTGAGGACGATAACCAATACACATGCATTAAACCTGGAATAATGGCTCTGATAAATGCATCAATCCAGAAAATAGGACAATTCTTAGTATTGTTGCTTATTTCAAAGACCAAGAACCAACAAGGAAAAGGCTCTGAAGGTTTCTTAGGAATATAAAAACAAAAAAAAGTATTAATTAATCCACCTGTCCAGTAAGCAATGTTGCAAAAAATGCAATATCGCAGAAGCATTTGTGATTACCATGAGTGATGAGACTTTTGCATCCCAGCAGAGGAGTTTTGACCAACTCCTCAAAGCAGAATAGTTTTAGTACTCAGCCACATTCAAGGGGTTTTGAGTTGTAATGGCCTTTTTAAGGGCATGCCACAGTCTTTTTTTTTTTTTTTTTTTTTTTTTGAGCCAGTCAGACTGAGACTCACTTGGGTACTCCAGTTCATTGTCCTGGTGTGTAACCCAACTGCACATTAGATAAAGTTTAAAACTGAAGACAACACATTCTCCTGCAGGATTTTCTACTACAGAGAAAAATTAATGGTTTTTGTCAATGAGAGCAAGTAATCCGTGCCGTGGAACAACAAAGTCACCTCTGATCGTCACAACCATGTTTTACTGTTTGCATGTTGTATTTTCTTTTTTTCTGATATGTTTTTTTCTTTTTTTTTCTTTTTTTTTTGCCAGATGTAAGGCGGTATGCATCTTCCAAAAAATCCAATTGCCTTGTCGTGTCAATATTTCCCTATTGTCTTTAAAGTCATCAAAATCAGACATGTTGAATGAGCTATATGAAAGGCTTATGAGTAGATTACCATCTCCAACCTCAAGCCTGGATTCTTTTTTATTATTATTATTATTTTTTGCTGATATTTATTTTTAAAAGTGAGCATATTTGACTGGAGTCCATAATTTGTCATAGAAAACAAGCAACTGTTGTCTTCTGCTGCACAAATTCACGAGCAGACATCAACAAATATAGGAGTTATGTGAAACAAAACCTAAAATGACTCGTCTAATTTCATGCATCATTTTGGATAAACACATTAACTTCCCACTTCCCCCTTACTCAGATCCATGTGCTACGGGCCTCGGCAAACCATCCCCACCTAATGCCTGTAATGTGATATAACAACAATTAACAATCAGACACCATGCAGCACATTAAATTTATGTCTCCGTCTGTGCCTCCTGCAGATGTTATGGTGCTGGGTGTCACTGGGAAATTTTATCACTGCTTGGGTAATGGAATCAGGGAACGAGGTGGGAGGGGTCAGAGAGATTGCGTTGCCAGGGCTTCCTGACAGACGAGCAGAGCATATCCTGAGCAAACCCCCCCCGCCCCCCTCTGCACCCTGAACCATATCCTCACTCACAAGTACTTTCTTTCAAATTACTAAATTACCAACCTTCATAATGGAGGAATGAAAGTGGTAGGAAAACCTGCCAGAGGCCACTGAAGTATATTTCAAATGACGAAGAGACCTTCTTTTGAGCGCATGCTTGTGAATCTCTATCCACATTTCACCTATAAAATATTATGGATCTGCAACAGAAAAACAGCAAAATTGCAATGAGAATAAAAGCAGTGGTTAGACATCAGTTTGTGATGTGGTTTCGATTCAAGTTCTAATGCATTTGAGGGACTTATTTAGAAAAAATTCTTTACAATCATAAATTCGTCTGTTAAGGAGTGCCAGACAAAAACAACCAATTAAAAAAAAAAAAAAAACTTTACGAAATAATAAACATATCTTTATTAGATTATTTCTTCAGAAAAAAAATTCAAATAAAATATTAAGTTGCCAGTTTTTCTCAGCAAAACCTGTTCTCATGTTCTGGATGTCTGCTACTCTCTGAGAAATGTTGTAGGTAGTTTCTGACGTTTAGTTTTTTTTACCGTTTTTTTTTTTTTTTTTTTTAATAACTCAAATCAACAGCTTGGTTTTACTCTGAAGGTTTTCATTATCTAACTTTAACTAAATAAGATAATTAAAATACTCTATTTCTAACACAAAACCTTTGCTCATGCCACTCCGCACTCACATCTCAGCATGAATAATAATAAAACTTTGTGGCAGACATCCAAAGTCTGTACCTCCTTTTTGGGATTCTGACAGTTGTCTGGACCAAATTACAACGTTCTGCCTCTTCGGATGTCTCAGTTATTAGTTACAACCTTCTTTGTGCATTGTATTATGAAAAATGGGGGTAATAAAATATTTAGCTTACGAAGAGAAAGTCTATTGAAATGCAAGAAAGACCCCAATCCATTTTTCCCCAAAAACATTTATCTTCACTCTTTTCTAAGCCTGACAAACAAAAGTTGGGACTGATGAGTATATTATTAAGTATCCTGTATATTTTCACACATTTTCTTTCTACACAAGAACACAATAGCTAAATAAAACCAAAACTAATTTGAGATCATCGTGAGGGGCAGAAGGTCTTAAACAAAATGGTCTTCCTTGCTGGTTACTAATTTTCATTCTTACTTACAATCTGTCTCTTGCAAAGTGTCAGTCTTGTGATCTTTATGTCTCATTCATTTTCAGCATATCCACATTTGAAACAATGAGGAAAAGGACTTCTAAGACATCCTGGACTCTAATCTGATTGAAACCAATGGGCGTGTTGCCAAAAGATTTTATTATGTCTTGGCAATAATGGAGGGCCATAAATGGTAGCGGTTCTGAAAGGCTGAAAATTTTGCTGGGGTGATTATTATTATTCATGACCTGCAGTCAATTTTTGAGTCTGTGTTCATGCAGCTGAAGGCAGAGAAAATGTCTCTGTCAACACATGTATTTGGTAATCAGTTATAGAAAGGGGGGGGGGGGAAAGGGACTACATATATTTTTTTTACATTTAAGGTTTTAAATTTAAAAAATACTACTCAAGTCATGAGTTTTCTGACATTTAGGTTGGAGCCTGTGGAATTTTCTCAAGGTCAGTTTGGACATTGTCTTACACAGTAAAATATATCTAAAATGTTTCTGTGGTTGACAGAATAGAGACAATAACAGACGTTGAGAAAAAGGAAACAGTTGCAGAGAAGAACATGGTACAAATAAATCATATTTTATTCATCTAAATCCGAGTAAAATATGTAATATTGAGACTATTTAACGCATCAAAATTTCTGTCTCGGTGACTCATGAGCCACTTTTACAGACACTTCAGGGTGGACCTTTCAGCTGGGGAACTGAACCAAGTGTCCTCTGCACTGGGATCAGCCAAACTCAACGGCAAGATAAAGATTTCCAGTAGCAGATATCTGATCAGCATCTTCAGCCTGCTCACCGAATGTGCCCTCCTGAAAATGCCCATCTAGCTGTGACACTGAGCAGCTATCGAAAAAAAAAAAACAGACTATAGTTTTTTATAGTTGTGTTTTATAGTTATAGTTTTATAGTTGTGTAAACACAGTGCTGTGTTTACACAACTGATAATGATATAATCATTGGGAAAGAAAAAGTCAGTGGGATTGTCTGGCACTGTGGAGAATTAGTTGGGAATTTACATTGCAGACTGGTAATACTTTATTTACCTGATAAATATCAGAACAAAGAAATATTACGATTTTCATCAACTTTGTATTTCCGGACCTCTTTTATTCATTATAAGTCAGGTCAGCATTTAATGATCGAGAAAAGAGCCAAATGCTTCAATCTTAGTTATTGATTATAAATAAATTTTAAAAATAGTGGACAAATCCAGAACTGGCAATCTGAATGCAGTGCTTTTCAGATTTTAATCTGTATAAAACGAAGTATCATTTTACGTTTTATTTTACGTGTATGAGTATTTTGGCTTGCTTTGTCAGGAAAAAGTAATGGTTGTTACATGACAAATTGAAAAAGCTCAAGTAGTGTTAATGTTGGCATTGTATTAATTCTACCTAATGTGGAAAATATTTAGGAAACATGTGCATTTAACAGATAACGCTGGTGTTTGTTATCCTTAAATGCAACTGCACGAGTAGTTCATAATGACAACACTCACCCACACAGATTCTTTTCAGAAGAAAAAGCTCATAATGGATTTGAGTATTCCGATTCTATTTTTTAGCTCCTGAAAAATGTCTGCAAGCCGTTTCTCTGGCAAGCATAAATCTCCAGTTCAGACTGGCTTCTGCATCAGGTGCATTTCTCTGCTGCCTGTGAATAACATTTCTGTCCAACCTTGAGGAAAAGTATTCAAAGGTTTAAGTTAAAGATCTATCATCTGAGATCACAAAATATGTTTTCTGCAAAAGAGAAAGTGACTTGGAAACATGATGCGTGCTGTCTGCAGCTGCTGTCATTGCTCTTGAGAAGCAAATGCCCCAGCTGTTTTTTTTGTTTTTGGTTTTTTTGTCCAAGTGCAGGACAGTGACTCAGCTGGGAGAAAAAGCATCCAGCTGTGCACAGGCACAGGTTTGAAATGAACAGAAACACAGAAAACGATTGAGTCGTTGTCTTGTATTGCACTGAAATAGTGTTCTCAGTTGAAAGATTATTCCCAGTAAAATATATATATATATGTAATCACAAATGAGTAACCCATGAAATGTTTTCCTGCAGATCATAACAAATTTATAAATATCCAAAGTCTGCAATTACTCATCACACACTTTCATGCAAGTGAAAATGTTTTAAATGTGTTGCATAACTGCCGCCATTTCATTCTTACTGCCTACAGACAAACCAATGTCCAAATTTAGTACATGAACAGAACTTCCAAACAGAAAAAAAATATATTGTGAAGTAAAATGAAGTGAAGTTGTATGGGAACGTATTGAGACTTCCACTTTGAATGTATTTCATGTTCTTCAATGTTATTTAACAAACAGGGACATAGTTTTTGGGAAAAAGTGCACACACTAATGTGGGATGGCATCCACTTTCTCAATTAGCTCTGTTGCAAGTCACCTATTGTTGTGTTAACTTCAGACAGCATAGATGATATTCCACTGGCACCGTCTCTACAGACTGAAAGTATAGGATCTTGATATCCCTCTGCACTGAAATTACCTTTTGTTGGGATAAAAAAAAAGAAATGATACAGAAGAAATTAAAAACATGAAACAGTGGTGAAAAGTAGTGGCTTTCCAGAGGGCTACAGCAAACAATAACTCCTCCTCAAAAAAGAAAATGATGTTGGTGACAATATTAGGTGCAATGACTTGCTTTGGAGATTAGATTTTGAAGAATGAATGACACAGGAATATTAAAATGAATAGAGCCATCTACCACGAGATAAAATATATAGTGTTGCTGGCTTCTGGATGAAATGCGAGACCGTTAACCTCACAGTGGTGAAAACAATGAGTACAAAAAAAGCACAGACACAAATAAAAGACGAAAAAAAACAATTGCAGTTTTCTATGAAGACCACAAAGTTCATTTCAGAGCTTAAGTCTTAAATCACCAGTCAATATAGTGGCTGATTGTGTGGTTGCTTGTCAGTCTATCAGCTTAAAAAACATAGACATTTTAATGAAACTAATACATTCAAGTAAAACTTACCTGTGTTTTTTTTTAATGATTTATTCTCAGATATCACACAGTGAGACATGCGCAGTAATTCAAGTCAAGTAATAAATCGAAACATTTATTCAAAACTCTGCTTTCCTAGAGGCCTGTTCTAGGAACAGATACATGCACTGCTAAACCTAATGCATTATCAAGCATATATGTAATAATTATTATACTGGATTTTCACCAATTCGTGATCTGTTAATCATATTTTAATACATCAACCTGTCCAGTGACTTCAGGTGGAAATTAGCATTTTTTGCTGTAACCTGTTACCGTGCACCTCTCCTCAATGAAATGTTGTACAGTGCATTGTCTCTTTGTAAATAAACAGTAAACGGTATTGAAAAGCAAGATGGCTATGCAATAGTGTGTTCGAAGTATTAGTCACAACTGAGAGAACTGATTCAAATCTGCTCATAAGACATTGTGAACTTCATCTTAAAATTCAACCGTGCAGCAAATTTATTTTGGAAATAAAATGAAGCTGAATTTATTTCAGATTTGAAATTTTGAGTGGATCTGATTCAAGACAGGAATTTCTTGCTCCATCCATCTCTGTCATCCATCACTGTTCCTAACTTCAATACAAATCCAAGACGTCTTCATTAAAGTCAGATTCTATCACTTCTGTTGAAGTCAGCCAGCAGCCGAGAAGAAGTGTGTAGTCAGCTTGTTCCTTAAAGGTCACAAGGAGGGAAAAAGTCAATCAGACAGTAATGGCTGTATTGGGATTGAGTCTTTCACCATTGCAGCTAATTTCCTCTTAAACCTGACCAAATGTCAGCAGCAGGCCTGTTTGAAGTCCCTGTAGAATACTGTCAGTTTTTGGTGGTTGAAATGGTAATGGATGATACTGGAGTCATTAGCTATGGTATGAAGGAGGATTATGTCTTATATGTCTCCTGATATAAGAGAAACTCTCAAAGAATATTAAACTGGAAGTGCAATCAGAGAGCACAGAGCCCCTCCACTGTCCTTGCTCTTCTTCACAGTTTAAATATTCCAACTCACCAACAAGATTTAAAAAGAAAAAAAAATCAGGGCGGTTCGTTTTCCTGGAGCTTGCTGACTCACAGTCACTCTAGAGTTATCATGTAATGCAGTGTTTTTCAAACACTGTGCCGCGG